CTGTCCTCCGAGCAGAATCCACACCGTGCCCCCGGCCAGGCCCTTAGGGTACACTGAGATGGCCCAACCGACAAAGCAGACAGCCCAGGAACTGACCCGGGAACTCTGATCTGTCAGAGTTCCCTGACTTGTCACTATATATCCTCCCGCCACAGCCCCCTGAGGTGTTACCGAGCGGAGGAGGGATCCTGGGCTCTGAATTCAGGCCGAGCTCAGTCTGAGTCCCTCTCTGCATCTCAGCGTTAATCCCCTCACCCTTCAGAGCCTCAGTGTCCCCCTGTATAGAATGGAGACAACACACACCTCACGGACCGCTTCCTTGAAGAAATTAAACACTCCTTGCAGACCACACCCTGTGGCAGGGATTACTGCCTGAAAAACGAGGCGGGGGCGGTGAAACGCATCAGCTGCACTTCGCCTCCGTGTTGGGCACCAGACCAGGAGGGCCGCTGGGCCTCCATCCAACCCCACACTGCCCCTGGCTGGGAGATAGTCTGGATAAAACTCAAGGGAGCCGTGAAGCGGGCTGGTCCTGTGTGATGTTCGAGCCCTCCCTGGACTCCGCACGGTGGCCTCGAGTTATAGGTCCACCACCCTCTATCTCTCAGTGTCCCAGTTCAGGACCTCTCTGGACCCTGGAAGTGGGGCACAGCTGTGACTCCCATTCTTAAGCTACATTCCTGTGCTGGCTGCAAGCCCCCAGCTGGGATTTCTGAGTGCCAATGATCTGCAGAGTGTCCTGATGCCCGAGGCAGATCCCTGCCCTGAGGAGGTCTCTACTGCTATTTCTGTGGAGATAATAGGACCTCTAACCCTCACAAGCACACATCACTTTAAAGTTTGCAAAGCCCATCATCATCTCAATTAATTCTCACAGCAACCCCGGGAAGCAGGCATTATTCTTCTCAATTTATGTATGGGTGAGGGAACTGGGGTGCAGAGAGTTTTTGCTCATTGGTAAGTGGTAGAGCTGGAAACACCCAAGGTGGTGCTCCGGAAAGATCCCTAGACCATCACAGCTGCACTGTGCACCTGCTCTGTGATGCTGGGCAAGTTCTTTTTCAATCAATTCCTTATTTCCTTGTCTTTAAAATTAGGGGTTAGACTAGCTGGCTTCTAAGGAGCCTCCAGCTCTGCTCTGAGCCCATAACATGGACAATTAATAGCACATGGTCAGAGAGAGGAGAGGTGATTGCAGGAGAAGATAGCCATAGGGGAATGGGTTTCTGAACTGGGAAGATTAGAATTTGAGTCAGCAGAAAGTCATTCCAGGAGGGGGGACCGCAGGTACAAGGGCAGGTTGAAGTGACCTGTAGTAAGTTAAACTGACAAGAAATTGGAGGCTCAGAGGGGTGAAGTGTTCTATCCCGGGTCCCACAGCCAGTCGGTGGTGGAGGTAGCACTCAAGCCCAAGTCAGGCTGTGGTTCCATCCGGTCTACACACTAGAATGCTGGGTAGAAGCACTGATGCCCAGGATTCTCCTGCGGAGATTCTGTTTGATCTTAATCAGGGTGGGAGTGTGGTCGGAGCCTGTAGTTTCTGGGCAATGGTGTACTCACACCCTGCGGATGTGACCACCCACCTGAGCCAGCACCCTGTGCCTCAGACTTGCTTAATATTATCTGTGGCAAGCAGGCTGGTATGTGCCAATTTGCGGCTGGGGTCACATGATGCTAGTGGTGCAACCTGTGCCGCAGAACTAAATCCTGTTTACATAGGGCATCCCCAGGCAGATACCTCAACCCTTCTGAGCTTTGCATCCCACCTATAAATCTGATTGTGTACACTGACAACATGTTTGGTGATGTTAAGGCATAATCATTACTCTTTAGCTGTGTTAATACATTGGGAATATGTTTTCAAAAAGTTTTTTTACCTTTTAGAGATCATACCGAAATGTTTATGAATGAAATGACATAATACATGAGATGTGCTTCAAAATAATCCGAGTGGAGAGAGGTGGGTGATAGTGAAACATGAATTCATAACAGTTGACACTGGGTGATGAGTACATAGAAGTTAATTATGCTAGTCTCTAATTTTACATATGTTTGACATTTCCATAATAAACGAGTACTTAAACTTAAAATTTTGATCGTACATACAAATAGGAAAATATGCATCAAGACAGAACATAAAACAAAGCAAACACAGGACCACCGGAAGTTGTGGCTACTGAGTCCCAGATGGAAAGGATAGTAGAATCTTGCGAGCTGTGTGAGTTCAGCACCGCGGACAGCGACCTGCAGCCGCTTCCATGAGATGTCAGCAGCCCTAGGGATAACAGGGGACAGAGAACTTCCGGATCCACCTTATTTAGGAAGAGTCTCTTCAGGACAGAAGGTTATCCACCTCTTACACAGCCCCAGAGATGGGGCGTTCACTACCCACGGGGCAGACCAGGCCTTGGTGGACAGTTTTGGCTCATAAGAAGCTTCTGTTTTATGCCCTTTAAGAATACCTTTGTCAAAAATCAATCGGTCATATATTTGTGTCTATTTATGACCTCTCTCTCCTGTTCCATTTATTTTTATGTCTATGCTTATGCCAATCCTACACCGCCCTGATCTATAGCTTTAAGCCAAATAGCTTTATGATATGACACATCTTGAGATCAGGTAGTGTGAGCCTTCCAGCTTTGCTATTCTTTTGCAAAACTGTTTTGACTATTCTAGGTTCGTTGCTTTTCCATACTGATTTTAGAACTGGTCTGTTAATTTTTTCAAAAGAGCCCATTGGAGATTTGCTTGGGGTTGCATAGACTCTACAGATGAATTTGGGGAGAACGGGGATCTTAAGAATGTTGAGTCTTTCAATGCATGAACAGGGTGTATGTCTCCATTTCTTTAGGTTGTCTTTACTTTTTCTCATCAATGTTTCATAGCTTTGCTTATACAAACCTTGCACACATTTTCTTAGATTTATTCCTAAGCACTTAATGTTTTTTTGATGCTATTGCAAATGGTGTTTTCAATTTTTAATTTCTAATTGTTTGTTGCTCGTATATAGAAATAGAATTGATTTTTTTGTTCGTTGGCCTTGTATCCTGTGATCTTGCTAAACGCACTTATTAATTCTAGTAGCTATTTTGGTAGAGATCTCAGGATTTTCTATCTTAACAGAAGCTTTTCTTTAGCTTTTTATTCTGCAAAGTTTAAACCTATAGAAGAGGTACAAGAAGTCATACAACTGTGGTAGGCAGAATCACATACGCACCCTCCCCCACCCCTCCCCTCCAGAAAAAGATGTCCACATCCTATTCCTCAGAACCTGCGACTATGTTATGTTACATGTCAAAGGGAATTAAGGCTGCAGGAACTAAAGTTGCTAATCAGCCAACCTGAAAATAGGGAGATGATTCCAGATTATTGGGTGGGCCCAATGTAATTACAGGGGTCTTTAAAGGTGGAAGAGGGATGCAGAAGAGTCGGTGTCAGAGCGATGAAAGGTGAGAAAGCCTAGACAAGCCATTGCTGGCTTTGAAGATGGGGGAAGGGGCCACAGCAAAGGATTGTGGGCAGCCTTTCAAGGCTGAAAAAGGCAGGGACATGGATTCGTCCCTGAAGCCTCCAGAAAGGAACGTGGCTTTGCTGACACTTGAACTTAGCCTTATGGCACTCCCATTAAACTTCTGACCATCAGAACGGTAAGATAATAAATTCACGTTATTTTAAGCCACGGAGTTTGTGGTAATTTGTTACAGTAGCAACAGAAAACGAATACAACAATGAACGTGGGCCATCACGTACATTCACTCATTGTGGCATTTGCCACATTTTCTTTCTCTCTCAGTGTATATATACACACGCACTCACATTAGTGTCATAATTGTGTTTTTCTAGAACAATTTGAAAGTTGCAGACATCATGATTCTACATGTACCTCCTAAAGAACTTGCTTTAACGTAACCATAGTACAGTTTAAAATTCATGAAATTTAAAATTAGTACAATATTATTAGCTAATATAGAGTCTATATTCATATGTTGCAAATTATCCTAGTAATGTCCTTTATGGCTTTTTTTTTTTCAGGATCCAGTATCCAGTCTGAAGTCACATATTGATTTAGTTTAAAACCTCTTCACTCTTGTTTAATGTAGAACAGTTCTTTTAGCTGTTTTTTGTGGGTTTTTTTTTTTAATGACATAGACATTTTTGAAATGTATATATAGGTCATTTGTTTTAGAGACCATCCCTTGGCATAGGTTTTGTATTTTTTCCTAATTATTAGACTCAGGATATGAATTTTTGGTAGGGAAAACCTTCTCGGCACATCACATCAGAGGCACAAAGTGTTATTTTGCCATGTTGTTGGTGATGTTTATTTTGATCACTTGGTTAGTATGCTGTCTGCCAGACTTCTCCACTAAAAAGTTATCCTTTCTCTTTTCTAATTGATAGGTGCTCTGTAGGTAGATGCTCTGAGACTGGAACAATATTATTTTCTCCAACAAATCTTTACCCAATGATAGTTTTAACTTCAAATGATATACTTATCTGATTAATTATTCCAACAATGACTACAAAATGGTGATTATATAACTCTATCATTAATTCTACGTTTATTAGTTGCTATTTTACTGGAAAGAAGAGCTTTCTCTTCTCTCTTCATCCTTCCTTCCTTCCTTCCTTCCTTCCTCCCTTCCTTCCCTTCTCTTTCTCTCTTTCTTTCTTTCTTTCTTTCTTTCTTTCTTTCTTTCTTTCTTTCTTTCTCTTATGTTCAGTATGGAATCATGGGTTCTTTTTTCCCACCATTCCTTCACTAAATCATTTTAAAATATACCCACTTAAAATATTTTCAGTGAGGTATAAATACATACATACATATACACGGCAAATTGTTATTTAGGTATAATGGACATAAACAGATCTTAAGTGTATACCTAAATAATTTTTTTTTTTTTACGTAGACATCTCCATAGGACATAATTTAAGGGTCCCAGTGCAAGATTAAAATGGAGGTCCTCTTGCTTAAAAAACAGGAAAAAATGCCACTAAAGGTACTAAAATATAAAGCTTTCTTCTTTCTTTTGCAATCTCTCCTTCAACCTGTCATATTCTTTTCTGTTTTCTATTTAACGTCACTCTCTCCAATACTGGGATACTTGTAGGGCACCTGCAGCCCCTCAGAAGAGCCTGGGGAACACGCCCCATGACTTCTAGAGCAGCCCATCAACTGCCCGCTTCCTCCTGTCAGCTGTGAGACCCACACATCATGCCTTGGCTGAGAGTGAGAAACTCAAGTAAGGCATCACCCCTTCCCACAGGCCTGCTCTCCCAAGGGCATTGCAACCTCCATACCAGACAAATGGGTATCTGAATTGGTGGTCGGAGAGAGGCTCACCTTTATTGATTCACTTACCAGATGACCTGGGGTGCTGCCAGTCTAGAAAAATAAGGTCAAGGATGGTTATGGTCATGCCGCATTCTGAGATGCCATGGGGTGTGAGTGTCGATTCCGATCCTCTTCATGCTGGCGCCCAGGCCCTGTGGTTGGACGGGGCTGGGACACTAGAAGACAGAGGAGCGGGCAGTCAGGAACTTGTCCTGAGATGGAGGCAGTGGGTGGAACCGCTTGTGAGCTGAGGCTCCAAGCTTTCAGCACATGCTCCGTTACCCCATCAGACTTCACTTACAAAGCACAAGTTCAAAGATAAAATTATTAAGAATTTCAAGATGGTAACCACAGAGCATTAAACCTTCTGAGCACAGGACTCTTTACAACTCCTCTGGTTGCACGACCATGAAGCAGGCCCTGCATCTCTCTCTCTCCCCCCACCCTCTACGTCAATCATCTATCTCTATCCATATCTACATCTATATCTACCTGTACGTCGATATCTCTACATCTGTATCATCATGTAACCATCGCTGAGAGCAAGATAATGTTCCCAACACTCCGGAGGGTACTCTTGTGCCCACTCCCATTCAACCCTCTGCCCCTGACCCACCTTAAGCCCTTTTCTGACCTCTATAACCATAGATCGGTTTTGCTTGCCCTTGATTTGTATGTGAAAGGAATCGTACAACTTATTGCCTTTTAATTTGGTTTCTTTTGTTCATCATTTTGACTGTAAAATTCACCTAGGTTGTCGCATATGCCAGTAATTCTTTTTTTTTAATCTCTGTGTAGTAAGTGTTCCATCGCATAAATATATCACAATTTATCTATTCTATTTTGATGGACATTGAAGTTGTTTCCAATTTTTGTCTAACATGTGGAAATTATTTCTAATTTGGCCTTTCAAGCTAGCTCTTTTGTCTTTTTGACCGATCCTTATCATTTTTAAAAAGACTTTATTTTTTGGCCCAACAAGCTGTTTGAGGCTCACCTTGTAGTTACTTTGCCCAGACCTGGAATCGTCCTTTCCTTCAAGAAACGCTGGTTCTTTCTGGCGCAGGAGGTATTTAGAAACCAAGATCTGGGCAGTGGGTGGACCTAGTATTACTGGAATCCCAAGTGCCTAGGGGCCTTTTCAGCAAAGATAAGAAAAAATATCTTAAAAAATAAAATTTTAAAAAAATATTTTAAAAAAATAAAATCATGTTAATACCTCAGATTCCGATCCAATACCACAGGGTTCTTCCCTGCCTTCCCCCGTAGTGAGAACCCTCATCTGAAGCATCAGCACGTTTACTCATTTGCTCAATTCCTCCAGCCCTTGGCTAGCTGCCTCTGTGCCATCACCTAATTTTTCTTCATCACGTTTAGAGAGCTCGGAATGTCCCGTTTGTTTTTGTAAAGACATCCCCGAGCCTCTCGAGTCAGGGTTGGTTGCTTTTTCCTCTGTGTTCACGTGCAGTACGTATTCTCAGCCACGTGTGCGTTTCTCTTGCCAGACTGCCAGTGTCTCTGTCTAAAGCGAAAAAGAGAGATAGCAAGTAGGTCCTGCCCACCTGCTCCGCTCTGGATTCTTGCTGGTGCAGTTATCTCTGTCCATCCTTCCGGCTACAGCACCTGAGGGTAGAGACTGTCTCTCCCTTTTCACAGCTGAGGACGATGAGCGTCAGAGAGTTAGACCGGGACTTCTATCGTTTTCATTTTCGAGTTCACCTAGCCCCAGGCACGTAGTAGGTGCTTAATATATATTTGTTGAGTGAGTGATTGGATGAGGGGTTGTACTAAAACCTCTCTAGAATTTTGTTGTTCTCAAAATTATAGTCTGCATAAGAAGCACCTTATTAAATACAGATTTGGGGAGCTAACCGGAGAGAGTCTGTTTTGTTTTTTTTTAGGTCTGGGAGTTGGCCTTGGAACCCGCAATTAACACCCTCCCCCTCCTGCCCTCAGGAGATTATGAAGCTTATTTTTCATAGCAAGTATCGGTACCTGAAATTATCTTGGTTATTCACAAATGTAAGCTCCGAGAGGGCCAGGCTTTTGCCTAACGTATTTCGGGAAACTAGACCGGTGCCTGGTACAGATCGGATGCTCCCTAAATATTTGTTGAATGAATTAATGAATCTCTGAGGTCACTTCTAGCTGGAGCATTTCATGAGCCTGTGTCGAGCACTTGGTGAATGACAGAATCCACGGCTTGGTGATGGAACGCGCGATGGAAGGACGCAGGCTGCAGGCTGGGGAGGAGGGCGGAGGGCAGGGGTCTCCCGCGCTCCTCGTGCGG